TCTCAGCGCATGGCCCAGCATTCACCACCCATTGACTGTCCCCAGGCAATCCACACCTGCAGAGTCCCCAAGCCGTGGACAGCTGGATTCCCACATATTACCCATAAAAGACACACATTTGTTTCCATTTGTAACGCCATCCCTCAAACAGATTGTAAATTCCGATAACCAGCCGAGCGCAGGCATTGGCTGACAGGGATGCTTTAGACCGCCTCTGATTGGCTGTCCTCCTTTAAACAGAACCGCTCCGACACGCCCCCCGACCGGCTGCTCTCCTATAAAATCAAGGAGGCGTCCCCATGTGGACGTTGCGAACTGTCAACACAGACTTGTCGACATCTCTAAGAAAGGAGGAGAAGCCTACCGTATCTATCAAAGCCTCAGCATCTGTGGAAGCTACAGACAAGATGAAGGTTGTCGGATCTACCTGCGCCCTGAAGAGCAAGGTCGGCGGAGAGATCGGCCTCTCCGAGCAGAGCTTGGCCATCTCCAAGTGCAAGATCCCGCTGCTGGACGAGCAGATGAGCGTATTCCTGCAGGACATGAACAGCTGCTACAGCAAGCTGAAAGAGCTGGTGCCCACCCTGCCCACCAACAAGAAGGCGAGCAAGGTGGAGATTCTGCAGCACGTCATCGATTACATCTGGGACCTGCAGGTCGAACTGGATGAGCCGGAGAAGAGCCGCCAGCAGCACGCCGTCCCACGCACGCCGCTGACCACGCTGAACGCAGAGCTCGCCAGCATCTCAGTGGAGGTAAATATCTTAGATTAAAGCGTTTCCTAAAACGAGAATGCACGTGCGTAAAGTTGCCAAACCTGTGCGTAAATGCGCAGCCTTTACGCGTAGAACATCTGTGACCAACATGCACTGACCAGCTCCTCTTTTTTTTCTTTCCTTCTGTAGAATGGCTGCTCAGAAGAGAGGATAATGTGCCGTTAAGAGTAGATTGAGCATCCTCTCCATCATCATGGAAGCCTGCGCCAGAGGAGAACCAACAAGGCGAACCAAGAGGGACTTCTGGACCACATCGAAATCTAGCGCCTTGAACTGTATCGGGATGTTTCAAAACTCCCAGAATCAAATGCTAGAAAACCAGACTGGGAATCCTCCGGTCGCTGCGGACTCTTGTCACTCAGCTCTCGATTCATCCGAGGGCTCAGAGAGCGGTGGTGTTCAGATCTAGACTGGGTTAGTCAGGGGGACCAAGACTAATGTTCAGAGCGACTAACGTCGGCTTGTTGCTTGTAGAGTTTCTGAAAAACAACAACTTGTGATTCTGCCATGCTCTTTTGTATTTTGTAAATCCTATAAAGAATTCCAAACATTTTGTAAAAGAAGAAAAATAATTTCTCAGATTCCTGAGTGACAAACTGTATTGTATATTACAATGCCACAGTATGTGAAGATATTGTTTTCTTACAATGTACTTTATTTGCGTTTTTATTAAAACAAGAACACTATTTTTTGAACATGAAACCTTTGTCTTGTTTCTGTTTCTGACTGAGAAATACTACAGCAGGATGAATTCATGACCTCCAGATTTATTTACATAATTTCACTTACTGGTTTTTGCTGCTTAAGAGGTGTGATTTTTACGCAGGTCTGTTGAATGTTTTATTACTTCAGAATGAAAACAGGCCACTAAACTTCACACAATTGCCAGAAAGTGTTCCCATTCATGGTTAGATAAAGCTTATATGGGGCCCTGATGACTTTGATTTGGGGCCCCACTTTTAACCATCAAGCTTGATAATGTATGTACAGGTAACATGTCTACTTTAACTGTTTATCATGAAGCTGTGATGAGATGTATAAACCGACCATAACAGTCACTCTGAAAAAAATGATGCAACCACTTTTGGCATTTACTTAATCATATTTAGTTACTTAACACAATTGTTTTAAGTCCTATCCTGCTAACATAAAACTGTGTTCAGGTAACTAAACATGATTATATGCCAAAAGCAGTTTGCATTATATTTTTCACTCTTAAAAATTTAATAGGAGGCAAAAAATGTACCCCTTTTTTTTATCTGGCAGTTTTTTTTCAATGCTCAGCACTTAAATGCAGATGCAGGAGTCAGATGCATATTTAATTGGTTAATTGATTACTGGTTTGCAGTAATGATAGAAAAATAAACAAAATACTTCCTGTTTTCATGATTAAAACAAAACCTTTCTAGATAATATCTCTTGTTAAAAGGTAGGATCATTCTACAGTGATGTTCTTAATAAACCCCTGCCTCAGGATTTCAGATTATCATTGATTAAAAAATAAATAAATCTTTCTCTTTGGGCCTTCTTCACAGGTAGCCTAACATCCAGCAGCTGGTGGTAAACATAATGGCTCATATCCATGTAGTTAAATTGCTCATTTGCCTCTCTGTGGGCCATTAGTGTATCAGATTACAAGTGGAAACCTCAATAAATAAAGATGTAGTCCAACCTTAAAACAAAACTGTTTCGGTTTAATATTCAACAGGAATGAAAAAAAAAAGGTTAATGAGGAAAGAAAAAACTTACAAATAATTTGAATGTTCTGTTCCGATAGCGATAACGATATAACATATGTTATCGCGTAAATCTGCAGCTCTGTTTCGGCCACTCTCTTTCAGCGGTTGGGGGGGGGGGGGGGGGGGGGGGGGGGGGGGGGGGGGAAAGGCGTTTTGGCGAGGCGATTCGCTCTAAGATTTATTCTGTCTCCCTGGTGCAATGTTTTTCCCATTTCCCTGCGGTGCGATGCGCACAGCTGCAGCCCCGCCGCGGCCAGTGTGTGATTGTGTTTGTGTGATAGCTTTGTGCCAAGGGCAGGGGAGGGCGGCGGGGCCCAGACTGAGCGGCGCCTCGGCACACCTGGGGAAGTTCAGGTTAAATAGCTTCACATTCCTCAACACACAGCTGATTGAAACATTAACAAACAGTAATCCACGGGCCAGGCCGCAGATGGGCTGGGAATCACGCCAAAGACAAGGAGAGGGAGGAGAGAGAGATTCCCACAGTACACTCATACGCCATAAGTTACCTATTAATATACACAGAGAGAAAGCAGAAAATGCTCTTGTTTCATTTCAGGAGCTGTCTGGCTCTGTGTGGAGTTACTTAACACATACAAGATCTTTATTGGCTTCTATCAAACTGCTCCTGATTCTGCTATTCAGCAAATATTTAATAATCTGCAACATAAACCAGATGTAAATGATCATTGTGTAATACGATTAAGCCCACTGTGTTGGTCTTTGTCATCTTTTATATTCTTTTATCAATATATACAATCAGAGCTCTGCTGTGGTTGAGATTCTTCATATGACAATTATGTATTCTTTTAATCCCTAAATATACAGAAGCGGATGGATCCTTGTGTCGTCTCGTTTGGCTCCCTCTAGTGACGTTTTAATGTATTACAACCAGGACCGCAACAATGAAGGAAAAAAACTGACAACAGCGCCCTCTTCTGGCTACATGGCAACATCGCAAACTTGCAGAGATGTAGCTTTTCTACTTTTACATGGAATCATATAAAATATATGGAAACAATTTAGAGCTCATTCTCTTCAATCGTTCCTTATAATTAATATTGTTTAATCCAAACGTTTGCTGCTTCATCAGAAGAAAATGAACAAGATTTTAAAAAACAGTAAATCCGTGATCTATTAGTTAAATAACAGAACCAAAAGTAACCACTGATAAATGGAATAGTGGTTCCTTAAGGTAGAGTCATTTTTAATATGATTTAAATTTTCTTTATTGGTAGTAAATGTTATATCCTTTAATTTACTGGTCATACTTGTATACTAAACAAATATATTAGCTTTCCCTGTTTTTTGTTTGGGAACCACTGGATTAGATCAGTTCGCTCATTGACTAATCAATGTTTGGTGAAAAAATTTAATGTAATGTTATTTTCATGTAGACAAAATTTGTTAAAACTAGAGACATTTTCAGATTTGAAAATCTCCAACTGGAAGGACGTTTGTTTGCAGGATTTGCATGCATTGAACGAAAGGTGGGCCATCACACCAGTAACCCCAAAAAAATAAAAAAATATGCAAGCCAATTATTAAAACAGGAGCTTTTAAATGTATTGTTTGGTGTAAAGAGGGTGATGCTGTGGTCCGGGAGTTAACACAGCACTTTAAACTGCTCAAGAAAACACTTCAATAGTTTGCTGAATTTGAATGTTGATATTCTAGCACCTAATTATAAATCAAATTAGAGTTAAAATGAAAAAAAAAAATGAGCTTGATAACAAGTCTCAGGGTTTGGATATTTAAAATTACATAAAACAATTTTAAAATCAGTTAAAAACAGAACATTGAAATGTTTTATTCCCTTTAGTCTAATTTTAGATGTGCACTTTTAACATGGTAACTATGTGCATGTAAAAGCAGATTTTTAGTTGAAGTTTTAAATGGGTGATTAAATGGTGAGAATCATTTAAAAAAAGATTACCGGTTACAAGTTAAATTGGCTAAAGCATGCAGGTGTTTATTGTTATGCTGGTGTAATAAGGGAAATTAGAAGCATTTTTTTCTTTTAAAAGAATGAGGAATGTTTTTTTTTTTATATATTTACTGATTATGTGTGTTTAGTAATGAATGCAGACTCGAGAACGTTTAAATATAAATTTGTATTTACAACAATATCAACATCAACAGAGAGAAATTTGTCATATACATCCCGTAAAATGTCAGCTTATTCCACCTCCAAACAAAGAAATGCGTCTCTTTTGCACTTCATCCAACTCTACAAAGTTCCTTTTCCTTGAAGTAACAAAATCTGGACAGTTGAACAATGCTGCTTCCTGAAAAAATAGAGGAAATATTTGATATGTTTCAAAGTGGATGTCGTTACATTGGTATTTCTTGAACACAGCAAAACATGCTATTTTTTTCCCTGAAGGGAAAACTTCCAGAAAATTAGACGTTTCAGGTTCTATTTGCTCTACCGAGCTGAGCAGTTTCCTCCATTTCCACAAACTTCCTATGTTGTTTTTTTTCCCCTTTTTTTCTTTTAAACATCCATGATATAGACCCATTTACGATTCCAATAATAGATAACACATCTCATAAAAAAAAAAAAAAATGTACATCAGAAACTTCAAACTATACAAAGATGTGGAAAAATATCTTTGGATTGCGCGTGCTGAAAAGGTAGATCCTGCCGGTTTTCTAACAGTCGAAACCAAGACGGCTTGAACTGAAACAGCTGAAGGTGGGGGCTCTTTTTGTTCCGTCTCTTCAACCAACTTCCTGCATGACCCCCAAAACGCTAAAGCCGTTTGGTTTATGTTCCAACATAAAAAAAAAAGGTTAGGTTGTACTATGCCTGAATGACTACCACAAGAAATAAAAAAAATTCAACATTCAATCACCCTCGATGGTCCAACCAAGCCAGGCCAGGGGTCTGTTTTTTCGGACCAACGCAGCAGTTTGACGGGAATGTCAGGAGTCAGGCAGGAAGTGAGACACGGCGGGAAAGCGAAACCCGCTGTGGAGGACAATACTAACTAAAACAGTAAAACCTCTAATGGACGTAAACAACACACGGTTTCCGATCAGAGGTGAAACTTGTTGAGTTTGTTCGAGCAGCAAGTTCATTTTTACATTTACTCACAGACTGTTTTTTTTAGATTATAAATCAGGCTTTTAATTCATCAAATTTAGGATTGCTCGCCAGAATACTCCAAATCACCCGCCTGGTGGTCCTTCGACAGACTTTAGTCAGAGTTAATGCGTTGTTACAAAACCAGATCAGAGCGTGTACGTGATTTTAGGTGTCACTCTTCAACACGTTAGATTCTCCTCCTTTATAAAAAAGTGCCTTGCTAAAAGATGACAAACCTTTAAAAGCATTCAGAAAATGAGAAGAACAGAAACCCAAATGTATTGCAAATGATAAAAAACAAAAAAACAAACCAAATAAGCTTTGACCTATGGGACACAAAAATACAACCAGGTCTCATCTTTCTGTGCAAGAATGGGCCTAAAAAAAAGCAGGTTTGATATATATTTCTCCAATATTTACAATTCATATTCACAGAAGACATATGAGACATCTAATACTGCAGTACCTTTCGTTTCTTAACATGGATTATGATGCTCAGTTACAGTCGAAAGCATAGAGGCAAGAATTATTGCTCGAATCTGCATATTCTTAATAAACTGTGTGCTTATAGCTTTCAATGACTTAAGAATGAGGTGCGTTCAAAGGCTAAGGAAAATAGAAACTAAACATACTGTTGTAAAGGCATTGAATCTCTAGTAAGGCTGTCAAGATGAAGGAATATTGCATCCACCTTTTTCCCTCCAGAAACACATAAGCTACTGGTAAAGTGCAGCCACAGCCAGTTGTACCTTAGTCCAGTTCTGAATGGTGGCTGTGGTGCTGAATACTGCCTGACAGCTTTAGGTTAGCCACTCAAACACAGCTGTGTCGTCTCTGTGCTTCCAAGGCTCCAACGTGGAATGACGCTTTGCACAAAGAAGTGTCTCAGGCCAGTTTCTTTCACTGCAGCACAACGGCCTCTAATCCCACACTGTAGCCACTCTTCTGTCAGATTCTTTTTTGCAGGTAAATATTTACTGTCGTGCGTCCCTATCCGACCTTCCCGACTAGAGGTCCTCAGCAATACTTCTGCAGAGACAGGGCAAGAATTTGATTATTAATCAACCTTCTGTGTCTTAAAGGAAGATTATCTTCCAAAAACCAAACATAGTTGTACATAGATGTACTTTCAGGCTCTAAGATGGATGTTCTATAATAGCTAATACTTTTTTTAAATCCAAGTTCTGTCATGTTTTTTTTTTTTTTTTGGTTCAGCAGAACACAGAACTGCTCCCTGCAAAATGTATCACTTTTCACCACTAGTATTATTCTCCCATTCTTATTACAATGTGCACAGCATCTGTGTGTGCACCCAGAATCACAATCAATCATTTGCATAGTTTAGCCATCAGTATTGTGGATGTGTAAACAAGTTTGCACCCGTTTTAATTAATGCAGACCTTTTAAAGATCAGGCCCCATGTTTTTTGTTTCAAACTCACAAAATGTGATTTTACCTTGGGTCTGTTACAATAGAAACCAAATAAAACACTGAAGTCTGTGAATGTAGTGTGACTATATGTCCAGACTGTAGGGTTACACTGCAAAATGGTGTATAGAATCTAAGTTTTATCTACCTGGTCAGGTCCCATTGGGAGTCTGTTCATTCCCATGGGGTTCATGCCCATCTGGCCCTGCATTTGACCGGGCATCTGAGCCATCTGTCCTGCTGCTGAGCCACCGACCGGCCCTGGTCCACTCATCGTGTTGTTCATCATCATGGGTCCAAACTGACCCTGGCTGGCCTGCTGTGGGAACTGTTGCTGAGGATACGGGCTGGAAGAAAAAAAACAAATATATCTATTAGAAACATCTCTCAGGTTATGGCACCTAAAGGAAATTTGAAGAATATTTAAAGGAACCAATTATTGAAGGTTGGGGATACCCACTTATTGCGCTGCATGCCCCCCTGTGGCCAGCCTTTCATGTCTCCAGATGGGTACATGTGCCCACCCTGGGGGTTCCCCTGCCGCACAGCCATCATGGCGTTTTGTGGAGGGCCGCCCATTCGGCCCTGCATCATGTTTCCTGGTGGACTGCTACCAGGAGCCATGAATGTTGTGTCCCCCTGCTGGTTCATTCCTGCAAAAACAGCAGCAATGATGCTGAAACCTGAGAATCAGATAGAAATGCTGCTGACAGACGTCTCAGCCTCACTCTACTCACCGTAGTTATTTCCATAACTGAAACCTTGCTGTCCGGGCTGATTTATGGGGGGTACTCCCATGGGGCTTTCTATGCCTCCTGGTGCGGTGACATTAGGAGGAGGACTGAAGCCGCCTGCTGCTGCTGCCTGATTCTGCTGCTGCACCAGCATCATCACCCTTTGCCTCCTCAACAGGTTGTCCCTGGTGCGCTGAGCCATCATCTGGGTATTCATAGGACCAGGCTGCAAACAATAATCCATGCAGTTCCTGGTTCAACCATCAACAAGCCCTGTTCAGTCATTTTTAAATGATAGGGTGTTGACTGCATACCTGACCACTCATCCCTGCTGACTGCATGCCAGGCTGCATGGCTGAGCGCATGGGAGGGCTTGATCCAGGGAAGTTTTCCATTTTCATGCTTTGTCGTGCCTGGTTCATAAACTGCTAAACCAGAAAAAAAAACAATAAAAAAAAAAACAGAAATATTTGCAAAATTCAAAGTGAATCAGAATACTATAGAAGAAAATACATGGTGAATATGGGCAGTGTGATCACCTGCTGTCCCTGCAGCCTCTGCTGTAGCTGCAGACGGAGAGGCTTGGTGGCAGTCATCATGCGAGGTCTTTGCATGTTTGCGCGAGGGTTACCCATGACCCCCATGTTTGCCATGCCAGGGAAGCCTCCCGTCTGGCCCATATGATTCATCATGGGGTTGAAACCTCCGGGAGATTGGCCTTGCATCGCATTACCAGCATAACCAGGCTGCATTCCCATGGATGGGGGGCCTGGGTAGGCCTGACCGTACACAGATTTTTGGCCCATGGTCATTGAGGAGTCAAGACCTGCAAAGGGCTCTGATGGGAGGCACGGCCCCTGGACTTGATCCGCGCATTGCTGAGGGCCTTCAGGTCCCTGGGCCTGGTGCAAACAAAATCAGATGTTATGTAATCTAAATTTATTGTTTATCTTACCGATAATGATAGCCTACCCAGCAATTCAAGTGCGGTTAACAATGGAGGGACCTGAGCTAGCAACAGGTAAAAAGAAGCGCAGGGAAAGAAGTACAGTTTTGAAGGTATAGGTTCTCTTTAAATTTATAAAAAACAAATGAAAACTGTGCAGTAAGACAGTTAGCATTGACTGAGCTCCAAGCGCTGCTCAATGTTTACTCATGGCTCTGTCCCAACCTTTGCTATCACCAGAAATAAAGTATTGCTTGGTCAGCCTGAGAGGATCATACCATTGTAAAAAAAAAAAAAAAAAAAAAAAGAGAGGGGTGGAGCCGAGAGGAGAGTTTTTACTATACATAAATTATAATAAATTATTAATAAAGCAATTGTTTACCTTTTTGATGAATGAAAGTTTTTATACCAAAACCAAGAAGTTTGTAACCTGACCCTTAATGTAGAAGAGTTTTATTTGAATTAAATAGATCTATAGTACTTAATGTAAAAAAGAAAAAATGTGAACCTTTATTCACTTTTTGTTTATGGGTATTTTCACCACAGAGATAGTGTTTTATTGCTTCATATACTTTTTACTTTCATATTTAAAAAAGACCTGAACTATTTGGATTTCTTCATATATTCCTATTACTTATAAAAGAAGCTAAAGCAATAAGTGCACAAACTGCAGAATGTGACTTTTGTTGTCCAATTACCCAATCGTGAGAATGATCAATAAAATAGCACTAAAATAAGCTAATCCAAATTTCAGTCAAGCTTTAGAGGTATAATGAGAAAGAGAAATGATCCAAAATCACAGAAGTCATTAACTTTCTGCTGAATCAATAACTAAAGGGTGTGCTGCTGGAAGATGAATCAGAGTTGCGCATGATCCTACCTGGCCCACAATTTCGGGGATCCCCAGGGCTCGGTCTATCTCTTGCAAAGCGATGACGTCGGCGGTTTTGAGCAGAGAGTCCAGCTGGTCCATAAGTTCATCAGTTGGACCATCATTACCTGGCAGAGTGCCCAGGAGTTCCTCAAGAGGATGCACAAACGTGTCCCTAAGTCAACAGGACAGGATATAAGTAAAGCAATCGGTTCGCTCGTGTACAATCAAACCTATGATTAAAAGGGTGTTTAAAAAAAAAATCTGTTCAAAGCCTCAAAATATTCACCTATTTGTACAGTTTGGTTGTCTGTCCATTCCCATGACCGGGTCAGGCCAAGACGGAGACTGAGGGGGGGGCCCATTTCCACCAAATGGACTCATGGTCATACCACCTTCATTATTACCTGCATAAGTAACAGTTGAAAACAGATGGAAATAATAAAACCATTAAAAAGGAGGATCTATTTAACCAGACTGTATGAACGGCAGCCTTGAACCAAGTGACAAAACGTCAGACGATGAGGGGGAGGACATACCCAGATCCATGAGTTGTTGCTGCAGCATAGATCTGGTGTTTGCAGGGACGCTGTTGGAACGGCTCATCATGGGTACTCCCATTTGGCCAGAACGAGCCATGCCTGGGTGTCCCGGTCCGCTCACAGGGTTGCTATTGGGCCTCTGCATCCCCCATTCTCCAGGACCTGCCATTGGAGGGCGCTGATGCATGCCTCTGCCCATGCCTCCTGGTCAACATACATTGAACCATTTAAAAAACAACCATTGCAGCGCACACACGGTAGAGGTAGTTTTCATTGACTTTTGCATGTTGTCTCATTTCTATGTAAAGAGTTTTGTGTTTAAATTACTTGTTGAATTTCCTCGTGGTGGACAGACACCCATGCCTCCAGGGAAGCCATTGGGCACAGCTCCTGGTCGTATGGAAGGATCCATGCTCTCCTGTTTGACCATGGTTGGACAGGGGATAGTCTGTCTTGTTGCCAGTCCACCTCCTGCTGCCATGTCTCCATCCAGGGGCTTAGCATCCAGGGACAATGCTCTCTGAAAAGGAGCTCGCTGGGCTGGCAGGCTGGAGACTCTTTCCCCATCTGAGAAGCAAACCAACATCTTCAGTATTCATTGAATCGGACCAGCACAGAGAACCTCCAATAGAGCTTCAGCTGTAACTGTAGGTAGTTAAACACACTACTGTATCAAGGGGGCTGAATGCATCTGTATAAAATCCCAGTTGGTTAGGAAAAAGTTCAGTGTTTGTGCTGGGTACAGATTTTTTGTTTCTCCACCAATCATTTATAGTGTTTCATGATGCTTCTGATGTATTTAATAAGGATGACTCACCAAGTAAAGTGTCATGCATAGCTCCCTGTTTGCTTCCAGTATCCTTCCCAGCTCTGGAGTCTGGTTCAGGGTAGAATCCAGAGTTGCTCCTTGGATTGCCCAAAATGGTCTCCAGGGTTTCCGTCTGAGGACATAAATAATTCATAACAAATGAAGGCTGTTTATTTAAACTAACAATCTACGAAAGACAGAGATGAAGTCCTACCTCATCAGATGGCTCCAGCTTCACCTTTCCATCCATGCTATGAGGGCCTGAGCTGGTGACTCCAATGCCCTTTGTTCCTCTCCTTTCCAAATCCTCCAGCTTTGGCTTTACATCACCACTTTCTTTAGAGTCATCTTTATTGAGGAGGTATTGAAGGAGCGGGCGAGGCTTCTCCTTTTTGGGGCTATGCTGCTCCTTCTTGGCTTCAGATCCCTTTAAGGCAGCCGGACCCGGCTCTGTTGTCCCAGGTTCCAAGCTGCTCTTACCTGTAGCCTCGGCTGTGATGCGGGCCACATCATCAGGCGTGTTCCCATTCTGAAGGAGCTTGTGAAGGATTTTGTGTTTCTCCTGCAGTGATTGGCTCGTGCCTCCTGAGGAAGACACAGTACCGTGACTCCCATTGGTGGAGGAAGACACGCCTGTTGTAGAGGAAGGACTGGTCACTCCTGGGGCGCCATCCTTACCATCAGAAGTTGACATAGAAGCAGAGCTTAGAGTCTGATTAGGAGGCACCAGCTCATCTGTGGATGTGAGGAGCTGCAGAAGCTTTTTGTTGCACTTGTCAGGGGCCCGTCGGTTGGACTCTCCCACACCAAGACAAGCCTGGCTGTCCGGCCTGTCAGGAAGCCCCTCAGTGGTCGGGGTGTGTGGATGCTGCTGGGACTGCTGCTCTCCAGCAGCCCCCAATGAGCTGCCAGGGCTCTTGGATTCGGAATATGGTGGGGGGGCCGTTTTAGCCTGATTGGTGGAGTTGATGCTTGGGGAGCTGTCTGGTTTGTGGGGCGGTGGCGATGTGAGAGATGCAGGCATTGGATTCCCAACACCCTCACTGATGGCTTGGAGGGCGTTTAAGGAGCTGCTGGAGTAGCTGGATCCTCCTGTTCCACCTCCAGAGTTCCCAGTATGGCTGGGGCCAATAGGAGAGCTCAGAGCTGTGACAAGGAAAAAAAACAATGTATAAAAATATAATAATGTAAATTTTTTTCATTCAGATTTAAAGCATTTATTTACAGTTTTAGTGAAAGCTTTAGTGATACCTCCAGGAGAGAAGGGGCTGGCAGCTGTCTTGGGGCTTCCTCGGACTCTGGGCGAACCCATCACATTGTGGGGACCACTGATCCCTGGGCTGGCTTGGGTCGGGCTGGTCATACCCATCCCATATGCTCCACCGCCATGGAACTGACCCATCTGCTGCTGTTGCTGCTGCATGGCGGGATGGCCCATCAGATTCATCTGGTTGATGGATCCCATTTGGTTCATTGAATTCATCGGATGCATGGGATTGCCTTGATTCATCTGAGCCATGTTGTTCATCTGATGCATGGGGTTCATTTGATGCATGGGGTTCATATGATTCATGGGATTCATGCGCCCACCCCCTGAGTAAGGGGGAACTCCTCTCTGTGGCATGTTGCCCTGCTCCATCATGCCGTACCCCCTATTCATGCCCATATTTCCCCCTGGACCCATATTCATCTGCTGGTTGGGATGGTTCACACCCATGTTATGGGGCCTCAGGGGGCCGCTTTGTGTTCCACGGTAAGCACTATGCTCCCTACAGAGAATAAATAAAGAAAAATTGGATTAAATCAGCACCGGGTGCAATCACGTTTTTCTTTCTAGTGTGAAAGCTTTTATACCTCTGCAGCAGATGAGTGGAGAGAAAAGAGAGAGGCTCATTTGTGTTGCGATTCCTACAGAGCTCTGTCCTTGTCTGAGCCGTGACTGGGGTCCCATCAGAGAGAGAGAAGCGGTAGAGAGGCGTCTCCGAGTGTCCGTTATGGAAAGCTAACCCAGAATATAAGAGAAAAGGCTCCATCAATTAGTAACTTTAACCAGCAGACCAACATATTAATAATTGTGAGTTGATTGTAAAATGAAAGCATTGTGCTGCAAGGATGCTCTCAGTGTTTCACTGTCAATACAATGTGTTTATGGTGAGGTGCAGTGTTATACACCTTCCCCACTGGCCGAAAAACCTGTTTAAAGCTCACAGACCCACGTTGACCTGGATCAAACGACTCGCCGAGTGACCTGGTTTAAAATTGCCTTTATACGGCTCGGCTCTGATCGACAACAGCAGTCAAGGGTTGACCTGCTAATTTACGTGATAAAACTGAGCACAATATATGGATGTCACCACACCGTGCCAGTGGCATCTGATCTATCAAGCCAAAACAACTCTAACGCTAACATTCAATAAACATGTGCAGCGCCGGTAGGCAAGATTCAGAGGAACAGAACAAAGAAACAAGCCAAATGCCAATTTTTTGCGGTTCGACCAGTGTTTAAAAAACTTGTGTTATCCCGCTAATTTCTCGCCACATTTAACACTTTGCACGTAGACCAAATTGTCCAATCAAGGTCTCTGCTAGCAGAGAGCCTTCTTGCATGTAATTACTCCAAAACAAAATCTGCAATTTTAACACAGAAACTCTCACATATTTCTGTTAAGTCTAGCTTCTTCCATGACGGCAGTTTATTCTTTTAACAAATGTTCAACACTAATGCTTCCCATTTTCTTCCAGGACTTTTCCCTGAACTCTCTGAGGGTTTCTAATAAACCTCGGAGGCGTTCAAAGGCGGGCTGGTCTCATACCAATATTGATCACACAGATGGAGACTCTACCAATTATTTAATGCTGTTTTCAGTGGATCTGTTTGAACTTAAACATAAATACTAGTTTTACCCATCGAATTTGTTGAGAAAAGTTAGTCTAACAGAGTTTCAAAATAAACTGTACCAAGGAAGCAGTGCAGTGAGAGTAAAGCTCTTCAGTGCCATGCTTTTTGAATTGGGAAATAATACTAAAACCCTTGATTTTTTAGAGAAATAGTTTTACAGACAAACCTATTCTTAAAAGAGAAAATTTTACGTCAAACTAATAATTTTTTATTTTATCAACTTTGACTGATGTCCTGTATACGTTATTGTTTAAGTTGGAGGCAAACGGTGATTTCAAAGGGAGAATGATTCCTTTTCCACTACCCCTCTGAAACTGATCTGTGGCGAGCTCGGAACGAGCTTAGATCAGTTAACCGTGCCGATCTCGGTTCCTTATTACCGTTTACACATCACACTAGCATGGTTCCTTGCCTCCTAGTGATGATCTACGGTACTACTACTCTCTAGGATTGAAGGAGGTAAACAAGCAAATCAACATGGCGGCGCCCGTAACATTCAGGATGTTTGGTTATAATTGTGATATGTCATTGTGTGTGGAGAGTCAGGCGAAGAAGGCAGCCTTTGGTGAATTAACTTGACAGTCGGCTTTTGGGCAGTGGACAGAACAAACGGTAGTCTAATCAGGGCTTACAGACACAGGAAACAATGACAGACGTTGAGGTTAATCACACTGCTGAGAAGAATCATTATTGGAAATCATGTGACACGGTAAGGAAGCTAGTATTTTTATTAATATCTGAAATGTCATGATTACGGAGGCTGACTGTAAGGAGATGACGCGGTCTGCTAATGCACTCTTTGTTATCTGAGGACCGAGCCAGAACTGAACAGCGCCGAGTCCAACTGACGAAGTAGTAACGGTTTAGCTGACAATTCTCTCGGTTACCATGCCCAACCGATCTCAGTACGTCTTCAAAAGGGTAGCGTAAACAGTGCACATGTTGCTCTTTAAAAAACGAGATTTAATATCAACAAGAGCTGCTGATTAGGGGCAGACAGAGTCTAACAGCATACCGTCTTGATAGTGCCGTTTGTAGGACCATGGCTGTCCTTCGCTTCTTTGAAGGAACATCTGCATGCAGCGTTTGACCAGGTCCTCCCACCCTGGAAGCATTGTGGTGTGTAGAGAGCTGTGGTGTTCAATCTCAATCAGTTTACCTAAAGCAGAAGATACACAGTTAGCATAGCACAAAGGAAGCATCCTCACCTGTCACTTTATGGCTAACATGTTCAGCTCATGCATGCATCTGTTGCTACACTCACCAGAGAGTTCATGGCGTGTGCTAAATCTCTCAGTCCTTTCAACGGTGGTGATTCGTCTCGCTACACAGATCATACATGACTGTAAATCTGAGAAAAGAAAACAGAGCCAATCAGAATGAACTGTAGAAGAAGCTCCATGGTTAATGTTTTACATAGGGATACAGCTCAATTTAGATGTTATATAAAAAGTACAATGAAAAGAACACCAAGAATTAAAGAAACAGAAAAGCTGTATAAAAAAATTACATCTAAACCACTGCCTGCAATAATTACCTCTGTAAATGGTAAACGGACAATCGTTCAAAGCTGCGAATTATACTTACCATCTCCCTCCTCCATCATGGCCCGGTGCTGAGTGAGCGCAAAACACTGCATTGTCTCATAACGCTTCACGCCCCCTGGTCTCTCTTCGGACATCCCATGACTCTGACCATGAACCAGGTTCACCAACATACGACAACTGAACGTTCGACTTCTCTGTTGGGGCACATCTCCACCCCAGGGAGCCCCGTTAGGTGCTTTGAGGAGAGAAAAGAAGCAGAGGGAAGCAGGTGAACAGCGATGCTCAGGTCGAATCCCACACTCTGGTCTTTGTGTTGGTATGCATCTCACCATTAGACTTGGGCAGGTTCTTGTGAAACTCATCTCTGTCGTCATCGTGGATGATGTTGTACACGCTGGTGTTGATCAGCTCCTCCTGCTTGTAGTGCAGGTATTGTTTCACATTGTCGGACACAAACACAATGCTGCCCTCTCGGTTGACCACAAACAGAAAGCCATCCAACGCCTGAGAACAGCAGCAATGAAAACATTATGATTTTCTATAAGGTATTTTAAACACAGTGAGCAACAATAAGCAATGCACAGTTCCAGCAGCAGCAGGACGTGTTGCTGCAGAGGGATTGGAACCATAAGCTGACCTGCAGGAGCAAGGGCCCCAGATGGTCCTTGTCAATGACCCCCTGACCAGTAGAAGACACGTCCGCCTTCTGCACGTCATCGTCACTGCATGAGCTCTTTCCTGAAGAGAACCAGCAATCACAATCCATGCTGAGAACAGTAAAAGTACATTTTCTTTCAACGTAATCCTGTAAATGTCATCCTACATGAATATATGCTATCATTTAACTTAAATTGAACTAATAGTAATTCTGATTACAGAGATGTTCGCTCACCCTTCCACCCAAAGTCGACTATGATTGAACAGTTTGCTTCCACTTATTTTATACAGTACCAGAATTGTCCACCAGATGGAAGCACAGCTCGTCTGAGCATGGTTTGGTCTGCTTGCCTTTCTATTTTTAAAAATCACCACATGTCTGATTCCTTAATAGATACCAGTCTTTACAGCAGGGTCATCCATAGAGCAAGACTACACAGAATCGGAGGTAGAACAGCTCCACATTAAAGCATAAAAAAACAAAATGGTATGTTTAAATGTAGAAGCGAAGCTAGCCAGCCACCACTGATGGAACAAAAAAAGAAATTGCATGAAGTGAGCTGTGTATAGTCAACAGGTGTGTTGAAGAGAAAACAAAAAGTGAAATAAAAAGGGAAAAATGCCATCATCCTTTATTTGGTCACTACGGCAACCTGGCTGCCTGACGAGCTGACCCTCTAGGTAGATCATAATGTGATTGCTCCCCCCAACGAATCACCAGGGATTTAGGCCTAATCAGGCTAAAACAGGTAAATGAAATCATCTCTATTTATAGAATGATTTAATTAATGAAAAGTGATGAAAAACAGCAACATGCAGAAGTTTTAAACAAGTCTGTTTCTACGTCCCAACCTGTCTAGATTCATGCACGATATTGAGTCCTTTTAATAAGTAACATCCCTGATATCTACTCACTGCTAACTGCTGACCAGCTGGCTGAAAGGGGTCCCAAGGTTCCCCAGACAGACCCTCCGATTAGTAGAGACACACAAAGAAATTGACTGGTTATCAAATATTTAGCTTGATTTGCCTTTAAGAACGACAGAGAAACCATTCTAAGAGCTATAAGGATGTAGAAATAACAGTCCAAAATGTCTGCTGTATGAGAGGCTAAAAATTATATAAAATATAATAATATCGATTAAATGCTGTTACAGGTTCCATCAGCCTCCCAGAGACAGCACCAAAGTTTCAAGAGATAACATCCAGGCTGCATGGAGCACTGCAAAGGTGCTCAGATTTAAAGATCCGAAATGACAGAACATGTTGGGCACAGTTAGGGTCCGATCTGAGAGAAAAGCAGATCGTATGAGGTTGTGGCAATTAAAGCTTATTGAAAATGCACGGGTTGTTTCGAACGCAGGAGTCTCTGCAACTGTGCTTGAGAGATAGACCCCTGGTCTATTTTTGTCAGACCTACGCAGCAATTCAGCTGCAATGTAATGAGTCTGAGAGAAAGAGAGACATGGTGGCAAAATAGAACACATATGTTTTAAGAAAAATAAGTAAAATCTCTGAATCGCAAGATAAACTAGGCAGGTTCGCCCTGTTTGGAAACATAGCCAGTGGGGCAAAAAAGCTCGTACATTTTAATCAACATTATGAAATGTGGAAAAATAAGCATTCTTATGAGGGACAATGCATGACATGTAGTTTAATGAGCTCCCTTTTTTACGTAATAAAATAAAGAAAATGTGCGTTACATGTCCTGTTTTGCCTTTAAAGCTCTGGGAATAGATGTTCCAGAGTTAGATGATAGCCACAAGCAGATTCACTTGGTACTTTTAAATGGAACTTCATTGAAAATTTAAGGACTAAAATTGTATGCAACGGACAGAGAAAAAAACTACAAGAAATTACCTATTAATCAGCTTTTTCTGGCTTCACTCTTTTCTAAATGATCCACAGATATTGCTATAGCTCCCTTTTCTTTATAAGTAGTATCCATTATTCTTTCGATATACTGAAATACTAACTTTATATTTTAAGACCATGATGTGCAGGTTGATCTTGAAGTGGTCCTCTGCTTTCTAATTTGACTGAAAGTCAGCTCTGTGACACTGACTAAAGCTCTGCTTTCTTTACAATAAAACACACACACAAAAAAAAAAAATAATTGTCATAATTTTTTTTTTTATACCATGTCAAATCCTGACCCAGTCAAACAAAGGTCATCGATTCAATTTGTGGGTCAATGAAACTGTGGAGCATATAAGGGCGTTTTTTAACCCATGGTAGGAGACGATTGGCCAGTGTGACAGAATAAAATAAATAAATATCATCGGAGCTTCCAGAGTCAGACGCAAGCCTTCAGTCTGCCATGAAAGGTTAGGGTTTAAATGATGCAACTTTTTAAGAAACCTTAAAGTTTAAGTGAAGAAAAAAAAACATTCTTTAGAGATCAGATGCGGATAATGGTTCAGTAATACCAGCAACTTAACTCAAAAACCTGTTTTTGCCTTTTCACTACAAAAGTAATGCTTTTTTTTTTTTACAGCGACTACTCCCTCACAAAGTGTACCCATTGAGCATTTTTTTTGTGCCATTTTCATCTCTTCTCTTGTCTATTTATTTAAAGGAAACATTTTAGATGAGATCAGAAATGAACCACAGAGGAGCAATTCTACATTCCTAAAATTTTTAAAAATGACATCTGGGTCAAAGCGCCACTTTAACGTGTGATTTTTAAAACTCTGGTGTCGTGGGTTTTAAAGAGAGCCACGTTTGTCACTCGCATTGCTGTCACCACCAACAGCCCTGGGCCATGACCACCAAGGACTGGTTTCAATTACTGGTGTTCATTTACCCCCATGGAAACAAGCAGCCGGACTGGATACTGCCATCAAATAACCTGGCCATCAACCAAGCACAGCACTTCATCACCGGCGTCGTCTCTCCTTAAACCTAACTTTATCCGCTGTTTACAAATCAACCTGTTCCCTCAGGGGAACTCAATAGAGAATACTGTGAAATTCCTACGACCTGATTAAAAACCAGAGGACATCAACTGTACAACAAACTTCACTTAACTTATACTGACGAGTCAATTGGTGACTTTATTCTACTGGTATTTTAAGATATTTTATAGGTGCTTTATAAATAAACTTTACTTCCTTTCAGAATTAGTATGTGTTTCTACCCATAAGGGTATAAGAGAGTAATCTGTATGGATTGGTTACCTTGCTCTTTAATTTGTCTGATCTGCCTCACGGTCTCCTTTAGTATGGCACATTTATCAGGCTTGACGTTGAAGCTGTCGATGTTGGAGAGGTTGGCAGAGATGAGCTCTGCCAGCTCCTCGATGTACTTGCTCTCCTGTTCCCTCCGACGCTTGTCACACCTGCTGGGGTACCAGGGGAGGATTAGATGTGTTGCCATGACAACCTCACCTCCACAAGCTCCATCCGCAACGCAGGGCGGTAGAGGCATCTCAGACGTTCAGAGAACGGAGGGGGGTACGTTTGGAGGTGGGATCTTGGTATCGGATCAGGTTGTTGGGTTGCGTTATGGACTCACCCTAAGCCTGGTGTGTCGCAGCTGGACAGTTTACGCTTGCGATCGGAGCACAGCGGCTCTAGCGAGTTGTCTCCTATGCCACTCATCTTCAGCACATATCAGCACCTGCAAAACAAAAACACACACACCATGATCAATAAAAAAATTTAAATTACAAAGTACCACCATGTTTATAAAAAAAAAATGTTTACCAGAATGTGTGGTGCTTTACAATCACCAGATAACCTAGTTGCCATTTTTATTTGAGAATATATTGACTATACATCCACCGACTTCCATGGGAACATTAGATTGTAGTTTTCTACAGTGTTATGAGGACAGACTATCCATTTAGTGAAGCAGCCTCTCACTATGTGCTCCATGTTTGATGGGAGTGAAATCTCATCTGTTCCACTGCGCGGAGGGACTGATGATGATGTAGTGATTTGAAGCCTCAGGAGAGATGGGTCATCCTGCGTTCAGCCAGCCTACCCGCTGCAACGCTACCGCTCTGTTAGCAACAGCAGCACACGTACACACACTGCTTATACAAACCATTTTCAATTCAGTCGCAGGCTCAGGCACGTCGCCCTACCATCTTTGAGTGGAAAAAAAAAAAAGAAGCAAGCAGCAGCAGCCGCTGTCGCTCCAATACACATATTCAACAGCCAGCCTGTTTGTCTAACTTCTTGAAGCAAAGCAACACACGTAAGCTGTGAAGCCATGAAGCTATCCAGATTAACATCTAGGAAACAACTAGGAATATACCAGCAGTTCATAGCAGATTAGGCAGCTTCCAAAAAATGTTTTACTTCCATTTCATCCGTTGCATCCCAAGACAACCCCTCCCTCATTTTTTCCTCCTGACAGTAGACTTTCAGAGATTTAGGACCCTGCCCTTTTTTTTCTCCCTAGCATTGCCCTCTGTCTGACCCTACAGGGTTCACATTAGAGGAAAACCCTGTAACCAGCTTCTAAGGTCACTGCTCTTTCCTATTCCCACTCAGAACAGCACACGGGGCTGCTGTATGACACAAAACTGTTCAACTACGAACTTTATGGTAGACTTTCTGTCTACACTGTGTGTAGCAAGTGCTTTCAGAGTGAGCTCATTCCAGAGAGGAATACTGTAGAATGCATAAGAAGTATTATGCAACATTCAAGTTCTGTATTTTGCAGGCTTGGACATGTAGCCCAGTCACCTACCAGCGCTGCAAAGACACAACTACACCAAGTAAAAGAGGTCTCAGATGTGCACTTTGTGTTGTAAATCTGCATCTCCTGCTGTGCATCTCGTCTACCTTTCAGCGCCCCTCTATAAATGTGTTTGTCGCGTTTCGCTCTTGACTCTCACTGCCCTGCATTCTCCCTTTCTCCCTTCCTGGTTTCACCTCTGCAGCAGCAGAAAGAGATGACATCAGCGCTCAGTGAGGCTCACACATAAAAAAAAAATTAAAAAAAAAGACAAGCAGCAGAGCCGTGGCGGCGTGCAGGCTTCAAGAGAGATAATGTCGGACTGGCACTGTAAGGAAGCCAAACAAAACAAACCAAAAAACAAACAAAAAGGTTAACTTTATAAAACTGTCTCAAGTACAGTCACAAGCTCTTGTTTTGAAGTTAGTCCAACTTAAAAACTGATGACCAATGCGCAGAGGAAGCCTGACCCTGTCGACTGAATCCACAGCTGGGTATCAGACCTGACAAGATGGCAGCAACTTGAATCAGCTTCACCTGACAACAAAACCTTAGTGACGAGCATCAAGTAAATACAGAGCTGCTGCAGGTTTTGAGGGTAGCTACGTAAATCTTAGATCATATTGCTTTGACTTTCTAATGGTTAACCTAACGGGGCTAAAAGTAAAGGTGTGCAGGGGGTTCAGTGTTTACTATAGGCTCACCTTAGGCTTGATAAGCTCCAGTCAAACTCCATTCATGGTCTGCAACACTTCTCAGTGTCTCAACATCTCCTGAGAACAGAAGAACAAATTAGGGTCATGGACTGGTCATGGACTCTGGTTCTCTGCCAAGGCCCAGATGTCTCATCACGTCAGCTTCCTATGAAGAGGGCAAACGCTCCTTTTATATATATATATATATATATATATATATATATATATATATATATATATATATATATATATATTTATCCATTCAGAGATTCATGGGAAAGCATTCATTTCTAAAATTGCACAGGAAGTCGCAGCAGATCGCATCCTGTTTGCGCTCTCCCCTCAGTGCGTTCCACAGCGTCATCACTTCCCTTTCCTGGAAATGCAGCCACCCATCCACCCCATTTACATATTCTCTTTATCAGTCTGCTTCCCTGAAATTCCTGACTACTACTCCAACATAATGTGAAGCATCTTCAAAAAGTTTTAAACTCTTATAATGTTGAGAACCACAGACTTTAGTGCATTCGTACTTTTTATAGGGCTTGGTGATTCAATCTGCAATTGTTTTCCTATAAAAACTGATTGATTATTTTCCCTCTTAGGTTTCATAGTAAAAATGTCCAACAACACACATACTTCAATCACCATCCGCTTTAGGAGTGGACTTTATTTTAAAGGTCAACAGAATTCAAGCTGTTAAATTGATTACAAAATAACATTTCGCAACAAACACTGAAAACATAAACACAAATGTTTGCAGCTTGTGTTGTCACACAGTCAGCTAGTTTATCAGTTATAAGTGCACATCTAAGAAGAAAAAGTAACAAACTGATGTGACCCTGATCTATGGAATCCTAAAAAGTGCATTGGTAGAAAAAAAAATATAGAGCATGATTTGCAGAGATTATTCTTAAAGAAAAGATTTTTTTATCGATTAATCAAATAACTTTTTAACTTTTTAGATTGAATTAGCATAAGCTGGATTTTTTTTTTTTTTAAATCAGGTGTTAGGATTTAACAAGGCACAAAAAATAATTCAGGTTCAGATAGGCCTGTCACGATAAATTTTGCAGAAAGATTAATTGTCTCAAAAATTATTGCCATAAACGATAATATTGTTTGAAGACCTTTTTACACTGATTTAATGGAAATGATGTAATAATGCATGCATTTTCCTGCCAAAGATAAACACACTTTATTTTCAACAGAACACTTAACACTGGAACTTGTTAACAAAATAAAACGAGAAATAAAAATTAAAAAAGATAAAAAAAAAAAGATAAAACCACTGTGAAAAAAAAAAAAAACAGTGAAAATAAAAACGTATATACAAAATTTCACGTTGGTGACATGTATGTTTTCTGGGGAATTCATACCGTTTATCAAATGTCTGGAACATTTTTCGAAATGCCGGCTTTTCAACAATATTAAATGGAAGCATCTCTTTAGCAATTAAATGAACTACGCCGTCTGTGAGTGCGCGCCACTTTGTGCCATCGTTTTTGTATGCTGCCTGTCGATTAATTGCTTCAGTGATGGTGGACTGTTGCAAACTTGAAGACACAGACGGGCCACCGCTTGTACTTTTTGTTTCCAGCTGGAGAAACTTTGCTGAGTGGTTGTGCTTAAGGTGCATGTGTAGGTTGGTTGTATTGCTGCTTGTAGTTGCTACTGTTTTATGACAAATGCGACATACTGGCTCGCATAGGTTCAGCGGTTCTCCTCTGTCGTTTGGTTTGAATCCGAAATACTCCCACACTGCGGCTGTTGCGCTCGGCTTTTAAACCAATTCCATTTCGAGCTTTTTCCCCCAACATCCGATGTGGGTTTTTTTTACCTCGCTAACTCCTCTAACTCCTCATGGGGCTCTAAAGCTGCAGAAGTACAAAATGATGCGCGCTGACTACCTGATGCGAGAGTCCACTCATCCTCACTCCTCAAAAATGAGGAAGGGGAGGGGTCAGTGGATAGCACCGGAGTTGAGCCTTTTCATCCAGCGTCATCAATAGAAGGAGAAAAACACAGGCAGAGACGATATAGCCGATAAATGAAATGACGTGGATAATTTTTATTTGTGCGATTAATTGATTATCGCGACAGGCCTAGGTTCAGATTATCGGAGCTTTGTAGCTGAAATTTTAAATCTGAAAATCTATCACTTGTGTTGGGGATACATTGTGCTTTCCATACCGCTGGAGATGCATCAACTGGTCTATTACCACCTTGTTTAAACCAGATATATCACAGTCTTGCAAATAAAAAAAATCTGCCGTGTGGACGCTGTTAATTAGAGAAGATTAAACTTTCTATGTAGATTTGAAAAAAATAAATAAATAAAACAATCTAGCTTAGAAACAGCAAAGCTTTAAACAGTAATTTGGGGAAGAGAACAAGTCTCCGATTTATCCTTGTGGTAAGAAATATTTTGGAGTTTAAGATCTGTCTTTCTCAACTCAGAGAGCAAGTTTTTAATGTTAGTGCTGCTAAGTACAAAAGTCACTACAAACAGAATGCTAAACTAGTTTAAAAAGGTCACAACTCATGCTTTTTTTGTTTTGTTTCATAAAAGCAAAAAACTGTTTCTTGGAGAGGAAATGAGGCGACATCCCCTCTGGTCCAAATATAAATATTTAATATGAGCTAACAGTAGGAAGGCCAAGAAAGATTAATTCTCTTACACTAAATCCTAAACCAAGGATCTCCACTTTGATGCAATATCTTAAATCAAAGATAAATCTTTCAGCTAATTCTTTTCATCATAACATCTGACCTAAAGATGCACCCCTCATAATAAGTAAATGTTATAATTTACGTTAAATAATCTGCCAAATTGCAGAAGGGAACAAAAAGAGAGAGAAAAAAAAAGATCCTTGTGACGTAACAGTTTGGTTTTAGCCTCAATATTCGCCTCTCAGTCATCCTCGCCAGATGGAGTGTGAATTACAATCTGCTTCCACCCACAGTGTTTGTGCCTGCCTGCCCCCCCAACCAACCACAGACCACTGATCACATCAGTCCTAAACACAAGGCTGCAACTGAGCTAATGCTGCTGTTGAATAATTTAAAAACACAGAAAGGAACCCCTTTCCCTCTCCATTGGCTGTCCAAAGACTATTTGATTCTTAATGACACCTTCAAAACACTTGGCTTGAAAATTGTCGCTTCTATAATCCCAGTGTTGTTATTTGGGTGTAAAGGTAGATATGCAGCAGCAAAAGCCATTAGCAAGCCTTGGTATTGAAGTGTAATTCAGACCAGGAGGTCTAAGCACCATGTGATTATGCAGTGCAGGAGGTGGAGGAGGAGTCAAGCAGACAGAGCAGAATAAAAAAAAAAAAAAGAGGGAGGGAAGAGGAGGACAGGTAGGGGGAGGGGCGGGGAAAGGAGACACTTCATGGAGCTTAACATTATTCCAGTAAAACCAACTAATTAGGTAACTGAAGCAGCCATACTTAAATACTGCAAAACTTCAAACATTTTAACTGTTATTTATTTTGTGAACAATTCCGCCAGCAATTTAAGGTCAAATATTCTGTCATCCAAAGAAGAAGGCAGGTAAAATAAAGCATTATCATCATACATCACATTTACTATAAAATGACCGAGCAGGACATCTCGTTGAGTAATTTTTACAGTAGACTCAAACAACACAAGGCGATCTGTGCTCCTTCACTTTTGCGCTTCCCCCAAAGCTTAGCTTGTTAGCTCTCCAGAAGATCAATTCAAAATGTTGCTTCTGACCAAAGAGGCCTCCTATTATCTTCTTCTTTTGTGCGTTCAAAGCATGATATGCAGCCAACATTTACTGTGTTTGACGAAGCAGTTTCCTGAGCAGTAATGCTACTGTTAGACGACTCATCAAAGCACCATTAGTGGCTAATGACTGGCACACAACGGCAGAACCTGCAGCAACAACAATGTTCATTAACATTAGTCATGGGTGGAGAAGAACCAGTCAGACCAATTTTCCCCATAATCAACTGAAGTAAAAAAAAAAAAAAAAAAAAAAAAAAAAAAAAAAAAAAAAACTGATTTTTTTTTTTCTTTCTGTTCAGAGGTGCTCATTAACTGCCTCAACTAAAGGGGCCTGCTTTTTTTGGTCTATAAAAGCCATGAAGTAAGAGCATTCACTAATGCAATTTGTGGTTAAATAAAAACTTGATTATGTTTAGGAGTAATGTCCAACATTAAATTTTGCACTAACTTGGGTAAACTAAAAGTTCAACCTCAAGGGAGAAAGTGAATGTAAAGCCTGTGGCTTATTTAGCTCAAACGGAATGAGGAAATAAAACTAAAAGTGACATTTATCCAGCTACCAAGTTTATAATTTCAGTGCACCCGATTTTTGCCCTGTTACGTGAAATATAAATTTAGATGGTAGCAGATAAGTACCATGCAAAACGGACAGTGCAGTCTTCTTTTTTTCCCCTCCATTTAACAAATGAATCTTAAGAATTGATCCAGTATGTAATACTTCTTTTCACGTCTAAGCCTATAGATCAGTGTCTGATTTAGTCACTACATGGATGATTGCAGTCATACACTTAAGAATATAAGCGGAGAGGGAAATTGTACTAAAACACGTAGCTGATTTTAACCATCAAGAATAGCTTTTTATAGGTGAGAAAGATTGTTTAATGTGAAAACAGAAAGAACCTTAAGAAATATTCCTGCATAAAAGTTCTGTTTTTAATTTCCATCTTGTATAATCTTTTTATTCCATTTAGCTTTAACCAAAAGTCTTCTTTGATCAAATAATTTTTTATCTTTTGTTATTTCATGTTTGTTTTTTGTCCAAAACCGAAGTGGCATAAATAATTTTTCTAACTGCTGCTCAGTGGTCTTCAGAATCTGCCCTATTGTCAAACCAGTCATACTACTTTTCTATTTGCTTTTGACTTTTTAAATATCGTAGTCTTAGAAAGGACTATCACAGTTTTTCCCCCAAATTCAAGCTTTTTTGTTCAGTTTTCTTTTTACTAGAGAAGGATTTCTTTTTTTCCTCCATTTTGAGTGGGGTTAAAAATCCACGAACCATATAGCTAAAACACTGATTAAAGGAGGAGTACAGTTGA